AGAGGCGGGACGAGAGGCGGGACGAGAGGCGGGACGAGAGGCGGGACTTCGCTGCGAATCTGGAAGACATCCTGCTGCTGGGGAGACTTGAACTGTGTCTCGATGGATTTTTTCAGAGGCTCTAAAGTAAAAAAGCAGAACACCACCTAGTGAGCTAATATTAAAATCAAACGTTTAGTAATAAAGATAAAAAGTAAAACCGTTACTGAGAGGGATGCATTATTTTATGGTATGATAAATATGGGATTAAAGTCATATTTACAATGTTTTCAAATGGAGCTGCATTTTCCCCTCAGGATCACGAGTGTGTAGTAAAATTGCTGTAAGTGCATTTGAAAAAATTCTAACTAAATTAAAAAAAGTACAAAAACTTGTAGGTATTTTAAAGAAAAGAACAAAAATCATGTTTATTGGCTGCACCAAAATTAATAAGATAGAACTTAATTAATTAATAAATAAAAGCATAGACAAAAATAAACGTGTGGCTGATTTTCGCCATAAAGACGATACAAAGGTTAGAAGTTATTGCGTTCAGGCTAACATCATTAACATACAGACACGTTCACATTGTGCAAACGACCAACTCCTGCTAGCAGAGGGCGCCCCTGCAGGACCACACACAGCCTGTTTGACTCTCTTTCTGGTAACTTCGCTGTGTTCTGCAGCTTTAGTTCTTGGAACTGATTGAAGCAGATGTCGCTTGTCCTGAGTCTGGTTCTGCTAAAGGTTTCTTCCTCATGAGGGAGTTTTTCCTTTCCACTGTTGCCTTCGTGCTTGCTCAAGATGAGAGTTCTGTGATGGAGTTAAATTCAAAGCAGTCTGCTCCTCAGATAAAAAGTGTTAACTTTATATATATATATATATATATATATATGAATGCTTCTGATCAGTGCCCTGTGATGACTTCTGTTGTGACTTGACACTATATAAAGTAAATAAACTGAATTGAATTGAGTTGCATGTAAAAATAAGGCACAAACTTTAAACAAAATCAGTTTTTATGAAAATATCTGTGCTCCTGTGGACAAGACTCACCTGCTGGTTTCACTAATTGTGACTTTCTGCTAAATTTAGGATACAAAAACCAAAGTGGTGCCATTTGTCTCAAATCGTTAATCAGGAGAAGTGCTCCTGGAGGCTCCTGACGCAGTTTTTGTTCCTTGATTGTGGACCAGCCTCCATCTGTGCTTCACATCAACAAACTGACTGTTGCAAATGACCTCTTCAAGTAACATATTCTGAAGATCAGTTTACCCATGATGCCTTGCTGCTCTGATTCTATAAATAATATTGCTGATTTTAAATTAGTTGAACAAACTGTTTTACAAACCCTGGATTTAGAAAGACCTACAGAAACCAAGAGCTTCTTCAGTAACTCTGCTGTAACGATTTTACAATACTTCTAAATTTAATGTTGCAATACCAGACAAAAGAAAGACGCTAAAAGATTCAGACAGTGCATTTATCAACACATTTTAAATGACTCCTTTATTTTGAAGTTATTCATGAGCTGTTAGATTTAAAACCAGAGCAGTCTGAACTCACAATCTCTTACTTTTAGGAGGATAATTACAAAATATTGTCCATTTGAGTTGCTTTAAGTTACCAGACACAAACAAGTACTACTACTACTACCAAGTACCTACTTGAATATCTTGCACAAAAACATTAAGGTTTACTTTCATTCGCTGTTCAGTTCCAGTCCAGAAAAACGCTCATCTCCAAACAACAAACATTCACTATTCAAATCCCTCAGCGACAGGTGATAATGGCATACAGCTTGCTAAGGTTTAAATTTCTCCTACAATGGTTATAATTTGTAACTTGAGAAAAGATCATTTAGTTTTTACGTTGTGGTAATAGTTGCTAAAAGTTAAATTAGTAGTACAAGAGCTTATATCATGTTGTTGTGATTTCTCCATTTCCTTTCTGCCTCAGCCTAATTTCAGCCCCGCTCTCTCTCTCTCTGTCTGTTTTCTTGCTCTCTCGCCCACCACCTGGAACGAAGCCAGTAAACATTGTCTGTTCTTCCCACGACCAGCCCACGCATGCCCAAAAGACCCCACTGAAGACCACGACAAGCCCCAATGCCACGCTAATGAGACTTCCTGTGAACAAGCCGAAAGCGTGCACGTGCCAATTAACCTTTGTGCCCACCTGCAGCACACGTGCACGGACCCTCATTAACATAATCTGAGCTCAGGAGCTCATCAGCTCAGCTCACTGTGTCTCTGCTGAGGGCGAGATAACCAGCCGAACCTTTGAGCTGCGTGAGATAATACAATGAGAGGAGCAACAGGCGCCCGTTTCTAATCAGACGCCGTGATGTGGTGCCGTTAGGTGAAGCCTCGGCGCTGAAACAGCTGAACAAAGCTGCAAAAAATTGACTGGTTAAACAGCCGTCAGACCGCTCTGGGAGGGTTTGATTGGAGATGGTTGCAGAATTTGAACACAAGAACAAGTGTTGGTGAACACACAACAAGTAGATTAAAACCAAGCTTTACTCCATTTTACACAACAGTTGTATCTTTTGTGTCCCAAGTAGAGTTGCATTCGGGCCTAAAAAATCCTGATCCGACCCGGCCCCAGCCCGTAGGCATTTTTTTCGAACTCGACCTGACAATTAACTGCAATTGGAGGCCCAAATAAAAAAACAAAAAAGACTTTTTTAATTTTTTTATTAAACTTTTATTGCTTTTGTAAGCAAATCATTTTGACATGATAGTTTTAAAAACGTATTTCAAAGAAAGAACGATATAAGATTTCTTGTTTCACCAAATGGATATTAACAAAACAAACAGCCTAAAGAAAATCACCTCTAAAGATAGGCTATTATACAAATGAACAAAAAATTTTAGAGCAAAATTATTTGGAAAAATATAGAACAAGGCTATTTTAATCGAATGCGCTGCCTGCTTCGGCTTTTGTAGATGCTGCTACTTCCTTCACCGCAGATGACAGCAGGTGCAGAGACACACGTGGCCGGTGATCAGGTGATCCATCTGAAGCTTAACTGGACATATTTTTACTTCTTTTAACCGGCCAGTCAGTGGACGCACGCGATCCATGATGATCTGTAACAATTTTATATTGTGTATTCTTACTTAGTTTTCTTTGTGCTGTAATATTTGTAAAGCCGCATCAAAAACTCGAGACTGACCCGGCCCACCCATCGAGCACATAATTTTGGTCCGACCTGGCCCGAATTTTGGGTCGGGCCTGGGCTCGGGTTAGAAATCGCAGCTCTAATCCCAGGCCAGCACTGTAAATAAGAATTTGTACTTAGTGTTTATGCCTGGTTAAAGAAAGGTGAAATTTTATATACATATATATATATAGTATAAAATAAAGATATTCTGTTAGTAAGACTCTCTCAGAGATGTTAGAGGAGCTCACTTTAGTAAGTGCTTCAAAATATGACAACAACAACTGCAACTGACAAAAAAAAGGGGCAAATTTCTGTTGTAGCCCGACTGAATTCAGATTGTTAGTGACCAGCGAGCTGGTCAGTCGTGTTTTATGCATCCAGTTTATTGAGCATGGACTTTTGGTGTAGCACTCTAGAATTACAGAAACTAAATTAAAATGGGTTTAAGATGTTTGTAACAGCTCTGCAACTATTTTGAGAGAAATATTTTTGAGCATGCTCAAAATGCAGAAAATTAGACAAACTTGAGGAAATTCAAAACCATATGAGGCATTTTAAAGAGTCCCTCGTGAACACCGTTAGCAGTTTGTCATCAACTGTCGCAGTGAACAGTTTTAGAGTGGAGCTCTGTAAGAGTTGCCCACACTTCTGGCAGATCCCCCAACTTGACTCTGAGCTTTGAAGGCCCAACATCTGTGGATCAGCTTCAACACCCTGATCACGCTACACAATGGAGCCATCAATATCAGCTGAGGACACTGTGAGTCCAGAATTTTGTGTTTTAAAAAACCTGAAGTCTGGTAACTCACATTACGGAAATCCCTGAAAGGAACAAACTGCACGATGTCCCGGACCGCCTCTTCCCCCGTGTTGGACCTCAGGACACTGGCGTCTCCGTCCAGGAACTCCATGGCGGCGAAGTCAGCGTTGCCAACACCGATGATGATGATGGACATGGGGAGCTTGGACGCCTGAACGATGGCGTGGCGAGTCTCGTCCATGTCGCTGATGACGCCGTCTGTGATGATGAGGAGCGTGAAGTACTGCTGCACAGGAAAGGAAGGAAAGGAATCAAAGAGATTAAAGAAGCTTTTCTTAATCTGCCCAAAATTTTCAGAAAGTCCAGCAGCATTGTGCATCAAATAAACTTATTATTGAAGTAAAATAAACCAACTTTTTTTTATAAACAGTCCGTTAAAAAGGTTCTGTTGGCACAGATGACTTGTTCCTTTAAACTTTTCATCCATTATTACTTTTAATGTTTGAATATGATTTTGGAAAAAAGTTCAACAGGTTTTCTGAAGATAGAAGGTATGTTTAGATTTTACAAATTTCTTTTCACTTTTTAAAATTAATTAAAATATAAAAGTTGGGTTTTTTTGTTGTTGAATTGAACTGACTAAAAGTTGATAAATCATGGACGTGCATCCAGTGATTATCTGCTAAAAGATTTGCTAAAATGCATCAAATTGTTCATGCCATATTTTGCTAACAGACTGTTTTAAAAACAGATATCATGAGTTTAGTCAGCGTCTGGAGTTTGTGCCAGGGAGGACTCAAAGCTACTACCACACAGTCATGATCAGTGTCAGATCCTCATCTGCTCATGTCTCTGCCCCTTCATGACATGCCACGTTTTTGCTCACTCCTGCCATTGTTTCTGACCCTCGAGCCATAGTTTCTGTTCCCCTGCTTTGTGTTGCCTATCACCCATCCTTAAGTTCAAGCCTGCTCCCTCCAAGCCTTGCCACGCCTCCCTTTTTTCTCCACAGCAATCAGCACTCATAAGCTTCACCTGTTCACCTGCCTTTATAAGCTCCATGTCCACAATCTACCAGTGCCAGATTATCAAACCCTTCATGGTGTTAGATGTCCAGCCATCTTGTTCCTGCTCTAGTTCACGCCTGATATTCAAGTCTTGTTTTTGGATTCAACCTCACGCCTCGTCTTTGGGATTAACCACTCTGCCTACCCCTCATCTGATTCTGCTCTGCTCATCTGACCCTGGTACAACTACATTTTCTGCCTCACAGATATTAGAATAAGGATCACCCTTTGGACTTGTAACTGGAACTTTGACTCCCCGTGCTTGACCCCTGCTTCACCTTCTGGAACATGACCCTGGATTACCCTGCTGTTCACAGCATTAAAGGCCTCCTCTGAAGCTACCTTCCCACCAGTTAGTGACATCATCCTGCCCAGCTCCAACTGGTGGCCCCACCTCGCCTGCTTGTGTGAAATGCAGACTGTGAGGTCCGGTCACCACAGTTGGATCCTGACCCATTCTGCAGCTGCAAAATTAATAAAACTATTCTGTTTTTACTCTTGTCTGACTGCATTTTAATCCAAAAACCTGGCCCATGATACACACACACACCCACACACACATACACACACATGAATTCTACCTAACAAACCGGCAAAGTCCATGCTCAATAATCCAGGTATACAATCCAACAATTTTCAATCAGGTCATCTGGACAGTTTTTTGTTTTTTTGTGCTGAAACGTTTCACCTTCCATCCAGAAGGCTTCATCAGTCAAGGAAACACAAAACTGATTCTTCCCCCAACAGCTTCCTCTAAAGTAGAACAAACCAGTTACGCTGGTGCTAAGATGGTCTCTTTGGCACGCCCCCTACTCCGGAGCCGATATGTCGTCGGCAGTCATGTCAAAATGGTTCAAAACCAACAAAGTCCATGCTCTACCTAACAAGTCCAGACTGTGATCCTCTGCCACGAACAGATCTGTGACGCCTTTATCTAGAATTTTCCAGTTCTAGAATAAAGTTCTAGAATTGTGCTGCTCAAGGTGGCTTCATGTTGGGAGTAGTTACTTCCATTCTGAGATTGCCTTTGAAAACTTAATTCTTTTTCTGGATGTAAATCACTTTCTTTGATTATTTCCTCTGGTGTCAGATGCTGTGCAGCTGGGAGGATTTTACTGAAATATTTTTACTTTTGGACATTTGTTATGATGCGTAACCATGACAAGGTGGTTTTTACAACCGGGAGCAGCTGATTAACATCTCAAAAGCACAAATACCTCAACTACAGCTCCAAATCTCAAATGAATTGAAAAGGGAGTGCCATGGATGACTTCCCATCTACCTGGCAGAGGTGCTCGAGTGCCTGACCGCCGAGATCCAGGAGCTGGCGGGAAATGGAGCTGGTAACAATGGGAGGATCGGCATCATCCCTTGACACCTGCAGATGGCTGTCCACAACAACAAGGAGCTCAACAAGCTGCTGGGAAGAGTGACCATCGCTCAGGGGGTTCTGCTCAACATTCAGGCGGTCCTGCTGCCCAAGAAACTCACCAAATCCAAGTAGACAGATCAACATCTACAACCGGTTTCTACAAGAGATCCTTCCTGCCCACAGCCATCAGCATCTAAAACAACTCTTTAATGAAACCAGGATGATGAGTTACGTTTAATTTCCCTTTGGGATTAATAAAGTATTTTTGAACTGAATTGAATCTGTCTTTGCTGGATAAAAAGTCACACTTCCATGTGACGCGCAGACAAACACATCACAGGGAGGGCTCCGAAGCCTCGTTTATGCACCAGCAGCAGCGCTTGTTAGAGAATCGTTATCACACAAACGGCACTGCCGGCCCGCAGCCTTTGTGTTTGAGGCGCCAACAGGAGATACAGGCGCTCGCTCGGCCACCAGTTACACGTTTTCTCATTATCCGAGGAGCAAGAACCTAAAAACACCCACTTTCTCAACCACGAGCTCAGCAGGTGGTCCCCCCTACACACACACACACACACACACACACACACACACACACACACACACA